CCTGGGGGGGGGGGGTGGAGGCCCCCTCTCCACCCCCCTCACCACCCACCCCACCACCCCCTTCACCAGGTCTCAGGAGCACAGAGCTGCAGGTCATGCAGGCCCTTGGGGGACCAGAGAGCCCAATCCCCCCGGGCCGGCCTCTGGGGCCGGGGCCGCATTCAGCTAGATAGGGTCCAGCCTCCTCCGCACAGTCCAGGGCCCAACAGTTCCCTGTGTTGATCTGCTCTGCTGAGGGGTCCCTCCGACTGGAGCTCACAGAGAGGCCGACAGAGGGACCAGGGTGCCCCCCACTTCCCGCACTGAGCACTGTCCAAGTTACCTTCCCCCTCCCCACTCTCCTGCTGCACACACATTCACACTCACACTCACACTCACGTTCACACTCATACATGGTCTCAGGGAACAGGTCGGGACATAACCCCAAATCCTTGGAAAATGAGCAAACCTGACTGGGTAATCTGGTGTCCACAGCACGTACAGGCAAGCAGGCACTCACACACACACACACACTACCCCGCACACGTGTGCACATGTGCAGGGTGCACACACATCCCTCTGCTGTGCATGCTCGCATCCTGGCACACGCACAGATGCACAGTAAGTCACTGCCCACAGTGGCGGGCACCCAGCCCTGTGTGCCCACGCACAGCTGTTCTCCTCGGACCCTCCGCTCCCACCCTCCCCCACAGCCAGGCTGCAGACCTGGACTCAAAGGGAAGCGACATGGCTTCTCTCTGCCTCCGTCTTCTCCGAGGGCCCCTCCCAGCCAGGGTCACGGAGGGGAAAGCAGTGCTTTTCCTGCTCTCCCCCCAGTTCTGCAACCAAGGCCCCCACCCCCACAGGCTGCCTCCACGCCCATCAGGGCAGCGAGGAGAGCGCAGCTGGCAGGGCAGGGAGGCCTGGCGGGCGAGCAGGGGCTGCCTGTCTCACTGGGCCCTGGCACTTCCTGGGCACAGACAGAGGCTGGGAGCCAGGAGGGAGAGCTGGCATGAGCGGGCCCAGGCTGGCTGCACTCACCAGACAGACCTGTGTCTCGCCTCCTGTCAGCCGCCTCCCTGGAGGGGTCTCGGCCTCCTTGCTAGGCCCTCAGGGCCATGGAGATGGGGAGAGAGCCACCTGGGGCTGGGAACCAGGCGGCCAGTGCGACCATCGGTAGACAGGACTCAAGGAGCAATATGGATAGAAAGCTAGAGAGGTCAGGGTTCGAGGTCAGAGGTCTGGTCACCTCAGCTGCAGGCTCGATACCCTGCCCCAGTCAGGGATCCATCACTATGCTTTAATTATGTTCAGTTTGTAACAATGAAATTGGGAGTCACCACAACATGAGGAACTGTATTAAAGTGTCGCAACATTAGGAAGGTTGGGAACCACTGCCTAGAGGGAGAGAGAGGCACAAAGAGGTGATAAAGACCACGTGCTTAGCTTGGTGTTAATGCACCCAGGGAGGCCTGAAGCGAGACCCTGAACCCAGCTGCGGGGCGGGGGTGGGGGGGTGAGGGGGGGAGGCTTCCTGGAAGAGATGACCCCTGAGCTCAGGGTGGAGGATGAGAAGGAACTAGGTAAAGGGGTGACGACACTCCAGGCAGGGCCTAGGGCAGGAGTAGCCCACGGGGTGCAGGACCTGTGGGCAGGCTGCCTCTCAGAGGCTGCTTCTGAGACGAGGGGCAGGTCCCGTAGGGCCTGGTGCCTTTGAACGCCCCCTGAGCTGCTGGGCTGTGGAAGTTCTGAGGGGCAGTGGC